AAAAAAATTAGAACTAAATACAGAGAATAATAATATTTATAAAAAGCAAGAGGGAAAAATGAAATGTCTATTAAAATAGTTTTTTTTTCTTTTACTTAAATAGTTTTTACTTTTATATTTAATACTGAAAAATTAAAATTAAAATGTTGTAAATTATTAAATTTGTTAGCGCTAGTTTATACTTTATAGTATTAATGTATACATCAGTAGGGTTAGGTAATTACCTAGCTAGGAATTCCTTAATTTAATTAATAAAAAAAAAAAAAATAGTAAAATATAAAAACTAACAAAAAAAAATCACATCAAAAAAATTTGGTTAAAGTCACTCATATCTACTAACTGAATTATACAAATAATGTATAACATTTAAATATGTACCTACTTATTTTTATCAACAATTATTTAAAGTACCAACAAAAAGCCATTCAAATTATTGATTGTAGTGAATTTACAACTGTAAAATTGTTTGAGAACAATATAATATTATAATAAATAGATTACACATTTAAAATAGAAATTAAATTCCAAAGGCATGTTTACCAATCCAATTTCAGGTAAGACAAAATCATACCACCATTAATATTAGAACACTTCATTTTTCCTTCCAAACACAAATTTTTAAATATAATTGGATTGGTACCTAAATGAATATAGTTCTGATCCAACACCAGTAGTCATGTTATGCAGTGCAGGTCCAAGCAAATTATTGAGTTTATAATAATGATTTAAGCCTTCTAAATTAATAATTAGTATGTTGTTATTAGATGTAACAGAAAACAAAATCATACACCATACATTAATTCTAAATTGAAACAAAATTAAATCTTAATTATAAATAATGAAACATGAAATACTTTTATAATGCATTACAACTATCGTAATACTGCTATACCACAACCATACATCAAACATAAACCTTWAGAGATAAAAAGCAAACAAAAAAAAAAATTAAAATAATATTAAATTTTAGTAAAAAAAAATTATAAAAACATTGCAATAAAACATGCGAGATAAATTTTATGAGACACAAACTTAAATAATTAAATCAATGAATTCTGTAACTGATTCAAATTGTATATTTATAATAAATTGGACGTACTTGTTGTAATTTTTGATTTGTTTTGTTTTTAGYAGCTAGGTTCTCAGTACTGCCTTTTAATTTAATTTGGCATGCAGCTTCTTCTAATCGTTTTTTTTGTTCATTTTCARTATCAGCAGCCTACAAAAAAACATTGTACATTTTACATAAATTATATTTTAAATCTTTTTAACGTAAATATTTAATTTTTAGTTAAATTGATATTATAATACAAAAGAATATTTTTATCTCTACAGTTATAATAATAATATACAACTATCAGTCTTGTTAAGAATACTTTTCAAATGTATTCTGAATATTATTTGAATATTTGGTATCATTTGTATTTGAATATTTGAATATAAATATGAATACATTTTAAAAGTATTTTAAAAACTTTTTATTTTTTAATAATACATTCAAATGTTTTAATGGTTATCACAATTTTTTATATAAAATTAATAATAAATAATTAATTGATATTATATTTCTTTAGTTAGTTCAATGATTTTAAATGCCATATAGGTATACTTATTATATTGTTAAGTTAAACTTCAATAAGGTAGATTTGAATTTTAGGTATTGCGTCATGTGTGTAAAAGCATTAAAAAATATTATTTTAGACCAATTTTTATAATAGTAATATACAGAAAAAAAAATATTGTTTGTTGAGGTACAACAGTAAAAATAAAAAATAAARAATTTAGTATTCTGAAATAAATTACAAAGAAAATATATTTGAATACCTAACAATACTGATTACTATTATTACAAGTATAGAGTGTATCTAGAAGATTTTATTTTCAGATTAAAATTGTTCTTTAAATTGTAAAATCTTCTAGACCTAATTAGTATATAAATATATTAATGCTATATGTTAAATATAGCAATGAAAATACTAAAAATGAATAATAGGATGTGAAAATGACAGGTGTAAGAGGGAAATTCCCTAAGGGAGCATTACATAACATAAAAATGATTATTGCGGTTCATATATTATAATATTATAAGCTCTTTAAAATGTATACATATATACTTTGTTTACCTTGAATGCTTTGACAAATCTAACAAGCATGGAAAAGAAAGTATTGGCATCTGTACCTCGACGTGATTCGCCAAAATATTCTACACAATCCCTAAAAGATTCTTGAGCGGTTTTAGTCTCATTTTTCAATTTTTTAAGTTTTTCTTCAGAATTATTAAGGAAATCTCGAAGAACCATTACATGTTGAGCATTTCCGTAACCTCGTGTTTCACATTCCTTCTTTACTATTTCCATATTTTTTTCCAACTCATTAACATCAGTTATAACATTTTCCAATGATACTAAATAAAATAAAAATGTATATTTAGTAGTAATAATAATAAWACAATTTAAAATATAAAATTAACAATACCAGCAGCTGCTTTATCAATGTACATTAATTCTGAATCAAAATTCATGATTTCTGGCATTTTAGACCTAATAGTATCAACGATAAAATGTAGAAGGCAAATACTCCTATCACTTGACTTGGTATCAACTAAGGTATCTAGTGATTGTAGTTTGAATCCATACGCAGGACCGCGTTTTGCACTATTCATATAATTACCAAATGCTAATATTATCTCAAGCAATTGACGCAGTTTCTTGGAATTCTTTACAGAACTTGAAGCTGATATAATCGCATGGACTTGCTAGAATTTAAACAATATAAATAACTTTGGACACATCAGAAGTCACAGGTAAACTCACTGGTGATATTARATGTAAGTTGTCCATAAAGTTACCCATATAGCTCATTATAGATAATTTGGTGGAAAGTCTTTCGACTTTAGTTAACTGCATTAAAAATTTATCTTCTTCAGTTAACATGTTTATGTCTTTTTTCTCCAACTGATATTCCTTATAAGATTTAACCTATAATACAAATATTAATAGCAGTGCAATAATTTTTAACACTCAGATAAAATTAAAAAAATACACATAAATATTTTTAACTTGAATTTTAAATTTAATAAGAATTAAAAAATTACAATTCTTGCTAATTCAAAAAAAAAATAGTCCTCATATATTAAATATTGATGGCATTCATTTTAAGAATATATGGTAAATTTTAATATTTAAAAATAGTGGTTTCAACTAATAAATAATATATGTTATTTTCAGTTGTTACTTGTTAATATGAAAAAAAAAACAAACATTCCTTAATCACAAAACAATTGAATTTCAACTAGAAATTTAAATAATGGTWTTTGTTGAATACATTATTYGTACTGAAAAAAAGTTAGATAATATATTGCAATTGAAACAAAGAAATGGAACTCAATTCATTGAAGGAAATAATACTGCTGCAATAACTATTCAACGACATTACAGAGGTTATTACACAAGACTGTATTTTTCAAAGTTAAATGTTGCAACTAAAATTATTCAAAAACATTGGAAGGGATACATTGCTAGAAGGTATACTTATTAGTAATTACTAATTAGTGTTTACTAAATTAATGATATATTACTATATTTCAGGTATTTCAATGATATAGCAATAAAAGCGTTTGTATTTAAGTCTATTGATTATTATAATAAAGCAGCTACAACGATTCAAAAGTATTTTAAAGGTTATTACATCAGAAAATATTATTTGGATGTAAATAAAAATAGCAAGTGGATTAAGGAGATTCAAAAACAAAATGAAACTTGGTCTAATGTTATATGTGATTATAATCAAAATATTTGCACTAAGTTTGAAACTATAAAAAAAGAAAGGATAAAATGTTTGATAATTGATATGGTTTATAAACATCATCCAATGTTAAGAACTACATTAAGAAAAGGAGTATTCAGTGGAAAAGAAAACAGTGATTCAGAATTTGAAAAACTTGTTAGATATATATATGCACAAATAAATAAGAAGAAACTTAAGATATAATAGCTAAATTTACCTCTTGATCAGTAGGAATCATTCGTTGAAGGATTTCAACATTTTCTAAAGGTACTTGCTTTAAGTCTAATGAATTGACAGCCATTATGACACGTTCAACTGGCATATCGAGTTTTCTTCTTGAAATAGCTATTTTAAAATTTAAATTACAAAATATTTTGTTAATCTTATAGTTTTCTATGCTTACCAATATTTCTCAATCGAGTATGTTCTAGAAGAGAAATATTATCTTGTTTCTTCATTCGTTTACTTGGATATGTCATTAATCCATCATGCTGGTCAGAATTACCATTAATCAATGCTCGACCAGCAGCTGTCAATTTAAATTTCTCTTCAAACTGACCAAAGTCTATCACAGAGTGTAACTTATCATCATCTAACTCATTAAAAATAGTACCACGAACCTACATTTTCATGAAATAAATAAATAAAATAATATGTAAAAATGTGAAAATTATGTAAAAATGATGAATGTACTTGATTTGGTTTCATTGCAACCCAATTCAAAGTTGGTAACTTGTATTTGGTCAGAACTTTACGCTTAATTGTCATAGCACCATCTGGTGCTTGCATTGTACCTGCTAATGGTGGTGCGGGAGGTGGTGGA